CTGCAACATGCAGCATGTCAGTGGCGGGGAGCACAAGGGCAGGCGCTGACCAAAAAAAAAACGCACTAATTGTATTGGAATAAAAGAGTTGTTTCTTTTCAAAATCCGAGTAGAAAGGGTACACGTTGCATTCAAATACAACGCGTACAATTTCTATTCGGGGTACTCTGCTATTCGAGAAAAGTGCACCCACACCGTTTCAATTTCGAAAAAGGCTCAAGGACAACGGCCTCCTCAGCCCCCAAAACCTCAAAATGCCCACCCTCCCGAAGATTGATTGACGTTTATGCTATATGTATGTTCTGTCATGTTCGCTATATATAACTCGAAGAGAGTGCGTGTGCGGTCCCGGTTGGTGCTTTATTGACGATGTTCATGGGACGCTGGACCCAGTTTCCAACAGGTGGCTCTCCCCATCAATAGACAAGAGAATGTATGTGCGTGTGTATGTGAGTGTGTGTGTGCGTATGTGTGTGTGTGTGTGTGTGTGTTTGTGTGTGTGTGTGTGTTAGCGAGAGAGAGAGAGAGAAAGACAGAGAGAGAGCGTGTGCGCGTGTGCGTGCGTGTATGTGTGGGTGGGTGTGTATGTGTGTGTGTGTGTGCGTGTGTGAGAGAGAAAGAGAGAGAGAGAGAGAGAGAGAGAGCTGCAGCATGCAGCATGTCAGTGGCGCGGAGCACAATGGCAGGCGCTGACCTCCAAAAAAAAAAAAAAGTATTTTTATTGGAATACACGAATTTTCTCTTTTCAAAATTCGAATAAATGCCGCATTTTGGCTGTAGTGGTGAAACCACCAGTACCTTTCCCATGTGTCAGCCACGGGCCCCTTGCCGCAGCTTTTGGAGGCCCAAAACTGAACATCGACCGCCAATTAATTATATCAATGGCGGTCTGGCCCTGAGAGTTGCCCATGTTAACCACCATGTATTTACGTTGGACACAGGTTCCAGCAGGTGGCATTCCCCATCAATAGACAGGAGAATGTGTGTGTGTGTGTGTGTGTGTGTGTGAGAGAGAGAGAGAGAGAGAGCTGCAGCATGCAGTATGTCAGTGGCGGGGAGCACAAGGGCAGGCGCTGACCTCCGGAAAAAAAAAAAAAAGTAATTTTATTGGAATACACAAGTTTTCTCTCTTCAAAATCCGAATAGAAAAGGTACTTATATTCGAATACAATGTGTACGTTTTCTATTCGAGGAGCTTCCCTATTCATGAAAAGTGCACCTGGTACTTATTATATTCGAATACAATGTGTACGTTTTCTATTCGAGTGTTGCCATTCGCGAAAAGTGCACCTGCACCATTTCAATTTTGAAAATGGCTCAAGGACCTCGGCCTCCTACGGGCAGCTACCTGGCCCTTGCAAGGCCCCAAAACCTCAAATGCCCACCCTCCCGACGACCACGGACATTGAAATTTGATTGACGTTGGGGGGGAAAAACGCAACCCTGCCGGGCTGCGAACATTCGCGGTCACATCCATCAGCAGAATCGCGTCACACATCAGGTACAGGTTCGGAAACTCGACACCGCTGTCCTCCCTTCGGGGGTATCTTCCGTCAAGGCATTGCGTGTTACTCTCTCAGCATCAGATACTTGGCCATCACCCATGATCCATACACAAATAAAGTTACGTTTACCGTTACATAGCAAACATCTGTTCGATTCCCATTGCAGAGAAAACATCTGTTCGTTTCCAATTACATAGCAAACGTCTGCTCGTTTCCCATCACATCATACCTTGGTATGAAATTCGACCTCACTAATAGACAACGAGGCATGAACGGGCAAGATTCCTGAGTCCTGTCATCGGAAACAACACTCTAAAGAGATAGACGCCTGCCATGAACAGGAGAGAACTACACCAACCACGTTGACTGCAGTGCTCCGTGGCATACACACTAACATCCCGTTTCCCCACACAGCCACACGGGTAACTTAAAAAAGGGAGCTGCAATCGAAACGCCCACGCCCTATTCTCCCTCCAACAGAACATCGTACAAATCGGACTTCAAATGACACCCTCATTTCGACACCAAACAAAGATGCCGAATAAAATAAATCACAGTAAGACAAGCCCCGAAAGAAGCATAATAGCAGAGACACTTCTTAGCCACAAACAGGAACGCAACTTCTCGCAGTGCGCAGTTGAAGCACAGCAACCGAACGAACGAAATTGGAAAAGAGCGAAGATTCCCCCGACCGCCTACCAGCAAACATTAACTGCCATTACTAAACCTTCGCGTTTCCGAATATTAAAGAAGCGAACTTCCACCCTTCGACAGAGCAACGCGTCATATCATTGGGTACTCCAAAAACATCACCGCGGAAAAGATACCACCCACGAAACAGCAACCACAATTTGGATTACCGACAAGATCTTTCTCCGCTCTCCAGACAAGGACGCCAAGATAACGTTAAGATAAATATAGAGGGTGTTCTAAGAGGGGAAGAGCATCACTAGCAGCTCCAAGGGACAACAGAGACCCGGGACTGGGAAGATAAAAGCCCACGACTCTACGAAAACAACTAGTCCATGAGTTATACATTGTATCAATGGGACGCTGGACAAGGTTTCCAGCAGGTGCCGCTCCCCACCAATAGATAGAGCAGCCCGCCAGGGAGACCCTCAATCCCAACGGTTCTCTTACGACCGCCGGGATAGAGGGCTTACAAGGTCTATTCTTCCACTAAAAACAAAAAAAAAAGAACGCCAAGACCACTCCGCCACCCTCTGACCATTCGGTGGAACTTACAACAAGGACGTCCCTACTCCACATCCAAACTTCTTGTTAGAACCTGCAATGAGTAAATAAAGCTAACACACATCCAAGACACGATCCAACACACGAACAGAACATTAATTTCCTCACACGAGGCAATACACTCGCAAAACGCAAAAACATTACTCGCAACTCCTACCAAATCGCATAAATCTCGAACCCGCACCACCACTGGCAACAAGTACTAGTCAGCTAGTGAGAGACCAACACGAATGTTACCTAGATAAGACCTCATGCGCTTCCTCGATAGACAAGTCACCAGTGACATCCAACGGAGGAAGCTGGAATACCATCGCGACCACAAACTGAAAACGCCATCTCCCTGTGCATGCATAAACGATCATAACACTTTAAACGCCCAACTGCCAAAACGAAAACACTCCGACGAGTTACAGACAAAGCGTGAGCCTCAGGTGACACCGCCGTTTGGGTAATTGCCCGCTTCCGCAGCGAAAACACTACCGCTTGTAAATCGGCTAAATCAACATACAACAGCCAACAATTTCGCGAAGCGAAACACGAACAATAATAACAAGTGGGAGTAGTGATACCTTTTACTCCAAAGACGCGACGTTTGTCAAATGATTTCTCAAAAACACAACGTATACGCGAGAGCTGAAATCTGTTCTTCCGAGCTGATTACACAGAACTAAATCGAGCTTCGCCAAACGAGAACACATCCGACCATGCATATTTCGCCATCTCACAGACCTGCACACCACGAATCTACCACTCCTGAAGATAGGCACATCAAATGAGCTGTAACAAAACTTGTTCACATCTTGCAAGATACCCGAAGAACCAAAAAACCCAAAAACCAGAGTTCTCAGGCAAAAAAATCACAACATTACTCGACAATTCGTTACCGAAATCGTACCAAAAAATATGACCAGGGTTGGAATAACAAAAGCGAGAGCCGAAACTGCGAGACCAGGGTTGCAAAAACAAAAGCACGATCCGAATACAAATTCGAGCAACATAAACCCAGCAAGCGCAAGATCAACATATCATGCATTAGATAACAAACGCCGGTCCTCTCCACAGAATTCCATTACAAAACTACATCCGAAACTATTTACTTCAGACGAGCAATGCAATGGATGTACTTCAAAGAACGTCTTGACGACGCGCAGTTCATAGAGCAAACGGAAAGCACCCACTATACCCAATCAAAACAAAACTTGCCAACTCACAAAAACCAAGACACCATCGAGTCCGGCCTGCCGATAGACTATCATTACATATAGAAAACATTCTCCAGTGCAGGAGCCTTAATTACAAAAATTCCTCCGCGTGTAGCTACCTTTAAAATTATTGACCAATTTGTCCGAAGCGATGATATCAAGATCAAGATCGTCAGTTCACCAATAAGTCAATATGAAGACCACCTTCTTCCTGGCCCCCTACCCGCCAATGCCCAACACCGCACAGAAGCTACCAATCACCATCGCAGTTTCTACACAAGACAGTCTAAACACTAAAACACAGAAGGAATAAAAATTGACCGCTCGTAAGCTTCAATTGTTCACTGGATTCGCGCTGATTACATCCCACTTGACCACTTCCCAATGCTTGGGTTGGATCAGGACCATAACAGCCCCGACAGAACAGTACTAATCTGGATGCACTACTTTAAAACCTTCAACTGCTAATTTCCCGACATCGATGCCAGAACGCCTTGGAACTAACAAGTGTCGAGAGTTTTGGGCAGAAAACAAACACTTTTTCTAGTACTCCTCTCCCTCCTCCTCTCCCTCTCCCTCCGCCGATTCCGCTCCGACTTCTTCGTAATCCTTCTCGAGCGCCGCCAGATCTTCCCGCGCTTCCGAGAACTCTCCCTCCTCCATGCCCTCACCGACGTACCAGTGCACGAAGGCGCGTTTGGCGTACATCAAGTCAAACTTGTGGTCGATTCGAGAGAAGACTTCCGCGACGCTGGTCGAGTTGGAGATCATACACACGGCGCGCTGCACCTTGGCAAGGTCGCCTCCGGGAACCACCGTCGGCGGCTGATAGTTGATTCCGCACTTGAAACCGGTTGGACACCAGTCGACGAACTGGATGGTTCGCTTCGTCTTGATGGTGGCGACGGCGGCGTTCACGTCCTTGGGCACGACATCCCCGCGATACATGAGACAGCAGGCCATATACTTTCCGTGGCGCGGGTCGCACTTGGCCATCATACTCGACGGCTCGAAGGCACTGTTCGTGATTTCCGCCACGGACAGCTGTTCATGATAAGCCTTCTCGGCAGAAATAACGGGGGCATAGGACGAAAGCATGAAGTGGATTCGAGGGTACGGCACAAGATTCGTCTGAAACTCCGTGACATCGACATTCAGCGCACCGTCGAACCTCAGCGACGCGGTCAGCGAAGAGATCACCTGCGTGCGACAAGCGCAAACGAAACGACACAGCACAGAAATAAATCGTCACCCGGGAGTGAAACAACGTGCCAAGAAGCAAACGAAACGACGTAGAACGCAAAACGCATCACATAGCACCAACCACAACCTCGAGACACGTCCACGAACACTACTCGACAGCAAACGCGACACACTCGACGACGTTTACCTGTGAAACCAATCGGTTGAGATTGGTGTACGTTGGCCTTTCGATGTCCAAAGATCGACGACAAATATCGTAAATGGCCTCGTTGTCCAGAAGCACAGCAACGTCCGTGTGCTCGAGAAGCGAGTGAGTCGACAGCACGCTGTTATATGGCTCAACCACGGATGTCGAGACCTGCCCACATCACAAAGATTCAACAACGCGTCGTCAATACAAACTGTCATTCACCCGCACCCATTTGACAGAGCGTCGTCTGAACCAGTTATAGTAGGACTCACCGCAGGGACACGACAGAAAAGATGATGATGAAGCCAAACCCCAAAACACTTCCATACTACACACGACCAACCAGTTCAGGCTGAGCCCCGATCGAGGCACTGCCATCGTCACTCCAGTGAAATTTCCGAGAGCGAGCTCATAATTCGGAAGAGTTCAACATCAATACTAGAACGAAACGTGTAGGAATATCTTCTGTCACCGACACCACAACGCGCGAGGTCTGTTTGTGCATACCTGGGGAGAAGGGTACACGGTGAAGCCAAGCTTTGACTTCTTTCCGTAATCGACTGAGAGACGCTCCAGAAGAAGGGAACCGAGGCCAGACCCTGTCCCGCCGCCAACAGCATTGAAGACGAGAAATCCTTGCAAACCCGTGCAGTTGTCCGCGAGCTTCCTGATGCGATCGAGGCAGAGATCGACAATCTCCTTCCCAACTGTGTCGTTACAAGTAAACAATGCAACCATCATGCGTCAGTCAGTCRGTACCTTTTTCTCAACCATGCGGCTGGCACGGAACCAAAACCCTACTATCACGACGCAAAACGAACGCGGAATAAACATAACATAACATACTTAAATGAACAAGAAAACCCCACCCCATTCTTGGACCTCCCAAGATCAATCCTTTTCTTCCGCCAACCGATCAGCTCCCACGTCCCCACAGACGCGCCGTGAACAGTTTGCACATCGYATAACAGACCACGAATGACAAAAGTGAAAGCCAATGCGGAAGGACTACGAGAAGGACCACGTTGGTTGACAAAGCGAACACCGAAATTCAAGAGCTGATTAAGCATTACACTTCTCGTGGCGAGTTCACGTCTTTAGGCTAGACAGCCCCAGGAGATTCGATTCCCAAGGGTCACTGAGACACCGAGCGACTTGTAACTGCTCGCACACGAGCAGTCAACGCCACAGCATTCCATCGCAAGACGACTGGAAATTTTTTGACTGAAAACCAGAACAACCACGCACAAGTGTGACATACATCATCATCTTACTTGTGTAGTGCCCGCGGGCGAAGTTGTTGGCAGCATCTTCTTTGCCGCTGATCAGTTGCTCCGGATGGAACAGCTGGCGATAGGTTCCAGTCCTCACTTCGTCGATGACAGTCGGCTCAAGGTCGAGGAATACAGCCCTGGGGACATGCTTCCCAGCACCAGTCTCGCTGAAGAATGTRTTGAAAGCATCATCACCCCCACCGACAGTTTTGTCACTCGGCATCTGGCCATCCGGCTGGATTCCATGCTCGAGACAGTAAAGCTCCCAACAGGCGTTACCAACCTGGATGCCCGCCTGGCCAATGTGGATGGAAATGCACTCCCTCATTTTCGCCTACGGGAAGTCGAGCACACGCGGGGCAGACAAACCAGACGACCGAGACCACCAACTGCAACGATCAGTCGCCGGCGTGCAATGCARCAGGAGGAGAAACGCAAGAACGAACAGAAGCGATGGCGAACGAAGGCAGTTGTCCGCGGCACAGTCGTCGAAAACCTAACGGGATGGCGAGCKCATTCCAGATACCACAGGGCGCGATGAAGACGCCTCTGCAGACCAGGACCGACTCCGCTAGCAATCTGATGAACACAATGCTCTATGTATTTGCGTTATTAGAGGCGTTACCCATTCACAAGGCGGTGTCCGTGTCGTTGGCGACCCGCACAGAGGTTTTCCTGATGCGCTTTCGAACGCCATCCTGTGGCGGGACGAAGTCTGCCACGCCCCCGGATTGGCCAATTTCGAAAGGGCCTCGTTCGCCGCCACTTGAAATTTCTCGACCAACGGGCCTACCTCAGGGCATACGCTTGAAATAGAGGCCCGAGTTCGAATCCTGAAAAACTGTATGAATGAATGCTATTCTTAAATCACGTGGGCCCGGTCAGTCCCAGACAGACGATAGCCCAACCCAATTCGATCTTCTGTCGAATCTGACAGGACGGCCTTTCAGGCCTTCTACCCTCAGGGCACTTGTGCCCAGCCCGTAGTTAGTTTGTCCGTTTATGTTCACAGCCCGTCAGGGGTGCATTTTCCCCCCCTGAGGGCATACTCATACTGCGAACCCCGCTTTGAGGTTTTGGGCATGGTTCACGTCACACTGCTGTACCTTTTCAGATGGGACAAGGTCGCGGCCCTCCGGAGAAATGGGGATTTGGTACTTGGCTGGTCACTGGTACTTGGCTGGTCACACGGCGCCATGCACAAAGTGTGCAAAACTTTTGTGAACGAATTTTTGCCAATTTTGGAAGAAAATACAAAAAATGAAATAGGGCATTCTCAGGATGCTCCTTCAAGGCGTCTGTCTGCTCTTTCATCATCAGCCCTATGTCCTTCAGCGCTTTCTCACTTGCATTTGCAACTATGCACTACCGCTTGGATGGCGAACCTGACTCTGGGGTGGTTGGGTCAACGGTCCACGTCTGTCGCTGGTCAGAGATGTGTCCGTTCGGTTACCAGCAATGGCTTCCTCTTGCACCTCCTCTTCTACTCCGGTGTCACAAATATTGTTTGGATAAACACATGGGTTCTTCTTGTTGTATGAATCCATCGGGTCAAACCACGATCTCCTTATGTCGAAATTCAGGCCAACGTGCTTTCGCTCGCTAGGAGTCATGTCCCACTAGCTTTGCGCGTCGCTCTGTCCATCATGACGAACAACATCCCGGTACCATCACCACAGATTCTTCCACCTTGTCGCACAATCTTTTCACTCTCTCGTCAAGCCCATAGCCTTCACCACAGCTGATATGTTGACCCACTTTTGTTTGTTGGACTTCGCATTGTCATATTTTTCATAGTTGGAACCTCGAGTTGCTCTGTAGTCACGATTACAGCGGATGAGCGCAAGGGTCTCTTTGTCATCCCAACGTCCAATTTTTTTGTCACACCGCCTCCCTCAACTGGTTGGACACAGTTCCCACTTGGCGAGTCACATACATGTTGGTCACCACCTCCGTCGACATCCACATCTCCCTACTCACCACCTTCGCCGACATCCACCCCGTGCTCGCCACCTCTGCCAACATCCACATCCACCTCCTCTTCAAATGCTGCAACTGGTTGAGAATCAATCCCATCCCCAATACTCTTGAGGGATATAGTTTGCGTAGCCTGCACATGAGGTCCATCACCTCCATAGTGCACACTTCCGTCGCCCACAGCAGAATCGGCAGGCAGCAGAAGTGTACCAGTCGGACCATCCATAAGTTGCATATCCACTCCCAAGAGGCACAACACTAAAAGGAAAACTCTGGGAAGTTGCACAGTCGCTCTCAGTTGCAGCACCAAAGGGAACATGTTGCGAAACCCATTCACCCTCAGAGCTACTGATGTCTATTTCAACCCATGACAGAAGTGCAAAGCTACGGACGCCCGCACCAGCACTTGCAGCAGCCACTGAGTCGTCTAGAACAATCTCTATGGAAGAGTCGGGAAAACCAGCCTGCTGCATTGCCCAGAGCCTAAGGTACGCCTTCATCTCATCAACAGGCGTGGACACACTTGCCATGAAAGAGTGTCGGACAGGGTCTGGGCTAGTTGCAGCACCTGCACCACCTTGACCGCAGAATGACGCTTTTATTCCCAACCTCGAAGTGCCCTGCATACCGTCGGACAGGGCCGGGACAGAAGGTGGCATGAAGATTTTTTTTTTTTTTCTCTCTCTCTCTCTCTCTCTCTCTCTCTCTCTCTCTCTCTCTCTCTCTCTCTCTCTCTCTCTCTCTCTCGCTCGCTCGCTCGCTAATCTGCCACGGCGGACGTGCAGGCAGAGAGCAGTGCAAGCGGACGTACAAAAGTAGCGGGGTGTTGGCACTTCGAGCAGCGAACGTACATAAGCAGACGTGGTGTTGGCACTTCGAGCGGTAGACGTACAAAAGTAGACGTGCATCTCTCTCTCTCTCTCTCTCTCTCTCTCTCTCTCTCTCTCTCTCTCTCT